TTAAGGTGGAGAGAGATACTGGTAAATTAAGGTGTGATGTTAAGGTAGAGAGATACTGGTAAATTAAGGTGTGATGTTAAAGTAGAGAGATACTGGTAATTAAGATATGATGTTAAGGTAGAGATACTGGTAAATTAAGGTGTGATGTTAAGGTAGAGAGATACCAGTAAATTAAGGTGTGATGTTAAGGTAGAGAGATACCAGTAAATTAAGGTGTGATGTTAAGGTAGAGAGATACTGGTAAATTAAGGTGTGATGTTAAGGTAGAGAGATACTGGTAAATTAAGGTGTGATGTTAAGGTAGAGAGATACCAGTAAATTAAGGTATGATGTTAAGGTAGAGAGATATTGGTAAAGTGAAGGTGTGTTGTTAAGGTGGAGAGATACTGGTAAATTAAGGTGTGATGTTAAGTTAGAGAGATACCAGTAAATTAAGGTATGATGTTAAGGTAGAGAGATATTGGTAAAGTGAAGGTGTATTGTTAAGGTAGAGAGATACTGGTAAATTAAGGTGTGATGTTAATCAAACATGGCCACCATTGACTAAATCACTAACATGGCTGTTTAGTGCCGAGGTGTGTAAATGATACAGCAATCTGTTGTAATGTAATCTGCAAAGTGAATAATGATTTTTATATAATGTTGTGTAAAATTGATGATGATATTTCAGGTAGGTGGAAATTAATGTATCAGTTTTCACTTGAATATTCATTGATAGAGATCTACTGTAATGATGTGATATTTGTGACATGTGTCGTATATATGTCATATAAACATATATTATGGGTTTTGTCACCATCATCAAATCATAACCATCACTACCACCAGCAGCAACAGCAGCAACAACATCATCATCATCATCACTATTGGCATGACACCAGACTCTGAAAATAAAGTATATCTGGTCTCTGGTTTGAGCAGAAAGATAAAAATAACCTGAAATACTGTTACTGTGGTAACAAATAACGTTTTCCTTCATTCCAAGCTATTTCTGAAAACATCTATTTCAACATGTAAAAGGTTTATCGAAAATTTCCTTTTTAGACGAAAACCTGAACCTTTTCCGTTGTTTTTAGTGAAGCTGCAGTTATATTGATAATTGTTATTGCCTAAGGGTCAGCAAGGTGTATGTATGTTTTCTACGATCAATATCTCACCAGTTCCAGATCATTATCACATTCTCAGGAGGTACCTATAGCATCCTTTTCACAACGGAATAGTTCTCATATTCACCAAGAATCCATCCTGCAAATATCAACCATATTCACCAGTCTCGAGGGACTGGGCTTGGAATATTTCCAGGGCTTTTTTTTTTCTGTGTCATCTTTACATAAACAATTATTTCCGAAAGCATGTGTCGATGATGTACATGTTGTAAACACATTTGAAATTCACCTGATTTGGATTAAATTTAAAAGATATGTGCAATATATCCTGTTTGGGTAGAGGAAGAAATGAGTGTTGCCTCACCATATTTTCTCAGTCATCTTGACATAATCAATTTTGTCTTTGTTGAAATTTGTGTAATTTGAGAAATGTTTAAATATTGATTGAAATTCATTTGTTTAGTTTTGTTCTTCAAGTTTTTTCACCAGTTGTTTGTTTTAATGTCTCTGCCTATAGATTCAGTGATAACGTCTTGCATGTTCACGTGTTTGTTGAAGATCATCAGCGTGATTAAACAGTGTTAACCCTGTATAATACCCCAGAACATAATTGAAGGATGACAGAATTCATCCATCTCATGCAAACACTTTAGGGGACAGACCTTCTTAACGATTTATGTTAATCATAATATATTGGAAAATGGAAGCGACTGGTCATTTATCATGGTTGGGAGAGAGACACTAAGTTGAGGCTGTGAAAAATGTCACAGTGAAGGAGGTGTCCGACAAACTTTAGCACAAATATATTTTGGATCATGAAAAGATGATGGGTGGGAGGTTTTGGGGAAGGGTGGGTGTTGGAGATGGGATGGGGTGGGGGAGGGATTAGTGTGTGTGTGCAGGGGAGGGGGGAGGAAAAGATGACAGAAGGGGTTGGATTAGCAAAAAATATGATACTTCCCTGAGACCAATCCAAAAGCCCTCTCCCTCCTGTAATAAATGACCAATCACTAATGAGCTCTGACAGACAAATTGAGTTGATGTCTGTTTATTGTCCAACTGACTCACTGGGATTGTGATCATTAAAATTTCATTTGACAACTATTCTAGTTATATAAGTGTTCAGATGTCATCTGTCCTCCACAGCTTCTGTCATTACACAGAACAGATTTCAGGACAGGTGTACTCAATGTGAATATAATTTATCGTGTGAGACCTGAACCAGGTTTTTCTTCAGTTTCTGTTATTGGAGGTATTAGAAAAAGGAGGTCCCATTAAACTAATTTTCTATATCATGAAAAGAAATATTACACGTTTCTTCAATGTCATTATGAACATAATTATGAGTGAACTAATTGATAATGACAAAATATTTATTCATTTTTTTCAGGTGTGTGATTGCATGCAGGCTAAGTCAATGCACTAAGATATTCTACACATGGGACTGACTGACTGACTGAGTTTAGCTTTTCACCGCTTTTAGCAACATTCCAGCAACATCACGGCGGGGGACACCAGAAATGGGTTTCACACATTGTACCCATGTGGGGATTCAAAACCGAGTCTTCGGCGTGACGAGCGGACGCTTTTACCACTAGGCTACCCCACCGCCCCTCTACACATGGGAGAATGTATTATCTATGTAGTCATTTAGGAAAAGCCCTTCCCTTACGAAAATAGTGATTGTTTTTTCTTCTTTTACAAAATCTTCAAGACAGGACCTGTGGTGTAATGGATAGAGGGCGGAGGGTTGGTGTTCATTCCCAGCAGCGTTGTACTGAAAACATTTAAGGTGCTTGACCTGCCCAATGCAGGGAATTAAGGGAATACAACAAGGATGGTAGAGATTTAAATGGGCTAGCACTTACAAAAACACACACACACATACACACATACACGCACGCACGCATGCACACGCATGCTCATGCACAGACACGCATACAAGCATGCATGCACATACGTGCATGCACACAGATACATACACAAACTCAGATCCACATATCCAGATCCATGCCATACATAAACACAGCCACACACACAAACACAGCCACACACACAAACACACAGATGTACACACACATGCATGCATTGACACAAACACACAGATATATACACACATTTACAAACATATCCACACAGATAGACATGTGCACACACACAGATGGCCACACACACACAGATAGATAGGGATACACATATGCACAGATACACACAAACACACAGATAGACACACACAAACAGATAGACTCATACACACACAGATAGAGATATGCACACAAACACACACAGACAGCCACACACAGAGAGAGACAGATAAAGACCCAGATGCACACAAACACACGCAGACAGCCACACACAGACAGATAGACATAGATGCACACAAACACACACAGACAGCCACACAGACAGACATATAGAGACACAGATGCACACACACAGACAGCCACATGCACAGAGACACATATGCACACAAACACACGCAGACAGCCACACACACAGACAGACAGACAAAGACACACAGACGCACACAAACACACACAGACAGATAGAGACACAGATGCACACACACAGACAGCCACATGCACAGAGACACATATGCACACATACAGACAGATAGAGACATATGCACACATACAGACAGCCACATGCACAGAGACACAGATGCACACAAACAGACAGCCACACGATAGATACACAGATGCACACACACAGACAGCCACAGCATAGAGACACAGATGCACACAAACACACACAGACAGCCACACACAGAGACACAAATGCACACAAACACACACAGACAGACACACACACACAGACAGACAGAGACACAGATGCACACAAATACACAGATGTACACACAGATAGACACATGCATGCATGTACGCAAACACACATATAGACACAAATACATGCAGATAGACACACACACAAACACACAGATAGACACACAGGACACACACACTTGCTCTCTCTTTCTCTCTCTCTCTCTCTCACACACACACACACACACACACACACGTGCATCACAATAAACTCCAACTCACCTCCCACAAAAAGTGCACCTGCCCCTTGTTGCATGGTGCAGTATGTGGATTGATGCATTGTGCAGACTCTGTGATTCACACACACAATACCCCAGACAATAGTGCAACTGCTCATATCAGTCAACAGGAAAATAGTACCTATAAAGATGCTACTTTCTGTATACATGTTTTCAAGCAGGATGGAACAGGCCAAAACAAATCAGGCAAGATTATTGCTTTGTTGTGATCTATTGGAATTGGCATCAGATGAAATTTGAAGATTTCACAAATGATGACGTGAAATGTTATTGTTTAATCAGCTGCTGTTGTCTTTATGTGAGGTGTGGATGCTTCACACATTCCAGTCACATGTTTTTGTCATGCGATATTCATAGACAATAAGCTGTATATATATTTTTGTGAAATATGAAATAGTAAGAGAACTGGTTATGGTACAATTGAGACAACACTGCATTGTTGACCGAATATTTCATAAAAAGTTCAGAATATTCTCCTATTATATATTTATGTTTTAACAATCAAGCCTCCATACAGTTTGATGAGAAAGGGATCATTTTTCTCAATATCTTTCCAAAAGCATGCCTATCATGTGATTCATTGTACGCGAAACTGATATGAAGCCAATACTGCCTGCTTTGAAAGAGTCGCAGCAAATTGTAAAAACTGCACGTTTAGCTGAGTGTAGAAATTGTCGACCTGTTTTCTGTAAGTCGTGTGCGATGTATTTTTAATGCCATCGGCTGAGCATTGTCAGCTACCGGCAAGGCCATCGCTGTCCCCCAATCAATACCGTAGTGAGAAAGCACAATGTAGATGTGTATGTTGGAATCTGTCTCTACACAGGTACAAAGCCTAACGAGGTTATCTCGGACAGGTAACAGCATCTAGATTGTGTGAGCTGCATTTTGGACGATATTCAGAGAATCGACGCTACTATTGTTCGCCAGGGAGAGACACTGCCATCTGTTTAGAACCTGGACTGATTGTGTCCACAAAAACAGGTAAATATGATACAGGTGTATTTATTTGACCTGCAGGTGCTTGTGATACCAACCAGAGATGGCAGAAGTATATTGGGATTTATATTCCAATATAGCTTTCATGCAAATGAGTCATAATTAATTTTTTGCCTGACAACAGATGGTAATTTGTATTCATTTTGTTTCAATTTAGATATATTATTGTGAAACATGACTTAATGTTAGGTATAACTATGTATGCAAGCTTCTGCCAATGTTTTGGGTTAATCTTTGCATTGATTGGCAGTGTTGGATGTTTAATGGAGTGTTCAGGAAGGTACAAGGAAACTGGTGTCACAGTGAGCTTGAAAAATGTAAATTGATGCTATTTAGATATATGTATTCTCAGTGGTGCATAACGTAAACAATCCTATACATTGATACTGATCGTTGTTGCTGCGTTGTCAACAGAGCAGGAGTTTACTGAAACAATAGCTGTTGGGATATACACTGAATCTTGCTTATCTGGTATATATTGACTGACTTCTGATTAATGTGGTCTGATATATACATTGAATCCCTCTAATGTGGTCTGATATATACATTGAATCCCTCTAATGTGGTCTGATATATACATTGAATCCCTCTAATGTGGTCTGATATATTACATGTGATCTGATTACATTGAATCCCTCTAATGTGGTCTGATATATACATTGAATCCCTCTAATGTGGTCTGATATATACATTGAATCCCTCTAATGTGGTCTGATATATACATTGAATCCCTCTAATGTGATCTGATATATACATTGAATCCCTCTAATGTGATCTGATATATACATTGAATCCCTCTGTGGTCTGATATATACATTGAATCCCTCTAATGTGGTCTGATATATACATTGAATCCCTCTAATGTGGTCTGATATATACATTGAATCCCTCTAATGTGGTCTGATATATACATTGAATCCCTCTAATGTGGTCTGATATATACACTGAATCCCTCTAATGTGGTCTGATATATACATTGAATCCCTCTAATGTGATCTGATATATATACTGAATCCCTCTAATGTGGTCTGATATATACACTGAATCCCTCTAATGTGATCTGATATATATACTGAATCCCTCTAATGTGATCTGATATATGAATCCCTGTAATGTGGTCTGATATATACATTGAAATCCTACTAATGTGGTCTGATATATACATTGAATCACTAATGATATATACATTGAATCCATCTAATGTGATCTGATATATACATTGAATCCCTCACTGATGGTCTGATATATACATTGAATCCCTCTAATGTGATCTGATATATACACTGAATCCCTCTAATGTGGATCTGATATATACACTGAATCCCACTAATGTGGTCTGATATATACATTGAATCCCTCTAATGTGATCTGATATATACATTGAATCCCTCTAATGTGATCTGATATATACACTGAATCCCTCTAATGTGATCTGATATATATATACATTGAATCCCTCTAATGTGATCTACACTGAATCCCTCTAATGAATGATCTGATATATACATTGAATCCTTCTAATGTGGTCTGATATATACTAATCCCTCTATGTGGTCTACATTGAATATATACACTGAATCCCACTGATGTGATCTGATATATACATTGAATCCCTCTAATGTGATCTGATATATACATTGAATCCCTCTAATGTGGTCTGATATATACACTGAATCCCTCTAATGTGGTCTGATATATACACTGAATCCCTCTAATGTGGTCTGATATATACATTGAATCCCTCTAATGTGGTCTGATATATACATTGAATCCCTCTAATGTGATCTGATATATACACTGAATCCCACTGATGTGGTCTGATATATGCACTGAATCCCTCTAATGTGGTCTGATATAAAGCTCGACTCTCAGTAATTTGATCGGATATATACAGACTAATTTCATTAGTCTAGTCAGACTCTCATTAAGCTGATCTGGTATGAAGACTCCGGTGCCCCTTTCAAAATGTTCATCAGTTCCTTTTAGATGTTGTTGGCCTGTATCCAGGGAATATGATAAATAATTTGTGTGATGCTATGGTAGTTGACATGCTATTGACATTCTGTGGAGTAAAAAGACTTACCGGTACTAATGCCAAAGGCTGTGTCATAGAAGGTCTGTTGTTGGACACAAGTCAGGACAAATTAACAGCGTTGAGAAACATGAAATTGACCTTCGTTCTGATTAATTACATAAGTAGTCTGTATGAAAAATGTGTTCACAAATTAAAAAAACTTCTGTATTGTGAAATATTGAACATTTGATGCTCAGTCAACTTGAAGTGAGCACTAGCAAGCTTTTTGTATCTGAGGAGTCAATGTGAGCATGAGAGAGGATATTAATAGACATTGATCTTGGAATTCTGTGGAATGAAATGTACACTAGGAAATGCACATGCGTAGACATTGACAGAGATATTATCAGTGTGAACAGGTAGACTGGCTTTAGTCTCCTCTATGACTAGGGGCGGTGGGGTGGCCTAGTGGTTAATGCATTTGGTCATCTTATTTAAGACCCGGGTTCGATTCCCCACATGAGTACAATGTGTGGAGCCCATTTCTGGTGTCCCGCCCGTGATATTGCTGGAATATTGCTAAAAGTGGCATAAGACCTCACTTACTCACTCACTCACTCACCAAACCTCCCACTCACTCACTCACATACTCACTCACTCACTCTTTTACAGATCACTGTAAGATGTAAATTTGATAGTGAACTTCCTTCTTCTGTGCATGCCTAGTATGGAAAGTTCCAGTTCTGGATTTGACACTACCATTTCCATGTTTTGGACAGCTGCTGTCAGATTAATGATAATATTCCTCATCTACAGTTCTGTTTGGTCCCTTGCATATTGTACACAGATGACAGTTTCTTGTTGCAGGTTTTGTCAGTAGGACTGATAGTGGTAGTAGATAGTATCAACTGACGACACAATAACTCAACAGCATATACCAGTGATGTAACAATCAAACAAATAATTATATTACAGAATTTGCAATTTGTCACTAATTTCTTTCCATTCTGCAACAAATATAGGGCCATAAATATGCATATTTTAAAAACACAAAAAGAGAGCTGTTACATGACAGTAAGCTCGAAGTGAGGACATGGTTTCAAAGTGAGGCTGATAGAACCGACTATCAATTCTTCAATTTATTATCACATTATCAGTGTCTTATGATGATTGGACTGAACTGTGAGGCCTGAACGCATCCATTGATCTCTGATGAAAGGGTAGTAAGCAAACACCTGCCATGTCCCTGACAGCACAGACAGGTTTGATGTGATCAACTACTGATGGAACTGTTTGATATAGGGAATACGTAAATATATAGCACAGGGACGGGATAATATTGGATTATGACATGAGTATTTGAAGACTGCATGTTTTAGTGCATATTACTATTGTTACTCTTTGATGTGCCTGATCAATAGGGTTGGCAGTATGGCTTCAGTTGGAGTGTAATTATGGAAAATAGGAAGTAATATTTTACTTACGAAGATGGAAGAAGATAGCAAGTGTAAGGAACACAGGCAGATCTATCAGACGTAGTCTTGAAAGGACTCTTTGTAGCTTTGTGTAGGTTTTAATGAAGATGGGTGTGAGTGTTTGTTGTTTTATTCAGCTTTATGACAGCAGCTGGTGAATAATCGAATCTTGACCAGATGATCCAGTGATCAATATCGTAAGCATTGATCCATGGCAGTATGGTACAATTACATGAGACCAATGAAGATCAGTTAGAATTTGTATTCAGCAACCCATGATGGTTGGAAGACCGCCTAACAGGTTCAGATGATTGTTTGGTTGACACATGTCATCATATCCCGATTGTTTGGTTGACACATGTCATCATATCCCGATGTCATCATGTTTGTGGACACATGTCATCATATCCCGATTGTTTGGTTGACACATGTCATCATATCCCAATTGTTTGGTTGACACATGTCATTGTTTGGTTGACACATGTCATCATATCCCAATTGTTTGGTTGACACATGTCATCATATCCCAATTGTTTGGTTGACACATGTCATCATATCCCGATTGTTTGGTTGACACATGTCATCATATCCCGATTGCATAGATAGATGCTTGGGCTGTTGATCACTGGATTGTCTGGTCCAAACTTAATTATTTACAGACCTCTTCCATATAGCTGGATTATTGCTGAGTGCTGCATTAAACAACAACCAAACCAAACTATTACATGAATAAGGTGACTCACCAGCCTGACCACCAGATCTATATGGTCCACTCCAAACATTTTCCATCTGTATGATGGCAGCCTGTCAATAATCAAGTCTGGGCCATACAAACCAGTGATTGATATGGTGAGCTACAGTACATTCCTTCAGGGGATGGACCGCCTCCATGGTGTAGTGGTTAGAGCGTCCGCCCGTAGAGTGCGGAAGGTCGCTGGTTCGGTCCCCGACTGCATCATACCAAAAGACGTTAAAATATGGTACATGTTGGTCCCTGCCTGGCGCTCGGCATTAATGGGTACAACAAGGACTGGTTGGCTCGGAGTCAGTATAATGTGTCTGAGTGGGGTATTCATGCTTCACTGTGGCCTGGTATCACAGTGGGCTAGCACTATAAAACCAGCTTCAGTCTGGGCTAGTACAAGCAGCCGCACATACACATACACACACATGCACGTCGTCATATGAGCGAAATATTCTCAAGTGCAACATTAAACCCAATTCCACCACCACCACCTTCAGGGGATGAGACAATGACACACAATGACCCATGTCACCTTGTCTGGCCATCTGATCTATCTGGAGAGCTCTCTTCATTAGTCAGCTGTGTGAGGCAGCCTGTAAATAATGTATTCTGGACCAGATAATCAAGTGATTGATATAACGAGCACCAATCCATGCCATCGGACATGATGATACACAATAAAAGTCAGAAAACCAGACCACCGGATCTCTTTAGTCTGCTCTCTGCATTATCCCAACTATGTGATGGTTGA